ACTTTGGCGTGCGCCCCCAGCGGCTGCAGCTGCCGATGGCGCCCCCTCCGTGAGCGCGCGCGGCCCGCCCCGGCTTGTCTCACCTCCCGCTGTTTTCCTGTTGTCTCTCTTCTCCTCTCTCGTGTGCAATTTAGGCTCCTGCTGGTTAGCGGTAGCTCGGGACGGCGCGCGGCCCGTCCGCTTGCGCTCGCGATCAAAGAAGTGTCTTCACCAGCCCATGCAGAAACGATGCCCAGGGGAGTTGAGGTGATCAGGGAAGTGGGGAGCATGCAGAAGAACGAACGGCGGGGGAAATCGCCCGACTCCTCAAGGGGGAGAGGATGGTGGAGGAGAGGGAATAGGAGGAGAAGGAGGAGGAGGGCGAAGAGGAGGAATGAGGAACAGACAGTGGACAATGATGAAGATGACGATGATTAGGATGATGATGATGGTGATGGTGATGGTGATGATGATGGTGACGATGATGATGATGAAAGAATGATGAGGGTGGTGATGATGATGATGTTGATGATGGTGGTGATGATGATGTTGGTGATGATGATTGTGATGATGCTGTTTCTGATGCTGATGATGGTGATGCTGATGATGTTGTTGATGTTGTTGATGATGCTGATGGTGATGATGATGATGGTGATGATCATGCTGATGATGATCCTGATGATCATGATCATCTTGGAAACCATCTTGAGGTATCATGCGCTATTTTGGGCCATCTTGGAGGTCATCTTGGGCTTTCCGAAGTCCTCTTAGAGCCGTCGTGGGCCTTCTTGAACGTTCCAACTACCCGCGCCCCCCCCCCCCCCGTCCAGGTCCAGAGGAGGGAGCAGAGGGGGAGGGTAAACCCCTCCCCGAAGGCGAAGGAGGGGGTTGGAAGAGGAAGCTCCCTAGACCACCTACGCCCAGAGTTTTGGTGGGATTTGGGGTCCGGGCCCGTAAGAGACTCATCAGGATGAGGCTCAGGGGATTAGGCAAAGGACCTGAGGACACGCCCTTTCCGTGCCCAGAGGCACGGTGATGGATGTAAAGGCTCTTAGTTCGTGGGGTGCTAGAGTTGGGGTGATAGGGGTACGGCTCCGGAGCTTGGGGCAAAGGGGTGGATGGGGGGGGTCAGTTCTTTGCTCCCAAGGGGGGCGATGAGGAGGGCAGTCTCTCTCCACCCCCTTTTGGGAAAGGGAGGTGGGGGTTCTGGGACAATGGATCGGAAGGGGGGGGGATCTGGGACTCTTGGGGCGTTCTTGGGCGTCTTGGAGCTCTCCAGAGCCCCTCTTGG